GAGTGCCTGCACTGTCACATAGCAGAAGGGAGGAAGAATAATTTTCCCTTTCAAGTTCTTAGCCAGAACTCCTGTAACAAGAGAGACTCACAGGAGGAAGATGTTCCTTTGCAACACTGGGCACTGAACCCAGGGCCTTGCACACACGAGGCAAACACTCTACCCCTGAGCGCTCTCTCTGTCCCTGGAAGCTGATTCACAGGTATACATGGGAAAAACTGAGGAACTCTCAGAGATGGGTTAGAACTCCTGCTTAGCATGTTCGACGAAGGACTGAACAGTTTTAGAGAAGCCACAAGACAAAAGCAAAGGACACTGGGTCTCTAGGGGTGGGAAGCTGTGGGAAGGCAATTCCACGGGAAACTAACAAAGCTCAAGGCTCAGGAAAGCTAGTCACCTAACTTCCTCTGGTGCCATCTCCAGGCTGATTAGGGTCTACAGTTGTCCTGAGGATCCACCTTTGTCCTTTCTGGTAGAGGGAGGTGGGGACACCCTTTTAAATTTGTCTTGCTTTTAAGCAAAAGGCAGAGGCCTTTTCTTGTATATATGTATTTTTTTTCTCAATTTGCCATCAGCTAAAAAAAAAAAAATCCTCCACTCAAGTGGCAGACGTTGGGATGCAGTGTTTTGTCACCCCTCAGTGGGATGGGGCGAAACTGCACAGCTTTGAATCCTAGGATAAGGGATTTGGAGCAAGTCTTTGTGGGGGCATTCGTGCAGATGCGGGTATGGACAGAAGCAAGGCCTGCTAGGTGGTGGGAGGTCACTGGTCTGAGGCAAACCGATCACCTGTCATTTCGTTCATTCAAACCCTGGAGCTCCTGTCGCGTGCCAGGCCCGCAGCAGTGTATTCGCAGACGCCCCTGCCCGCTGTCCTTCCCTGGAGGCCCACTGCTGCTCTGTGCCCCCGCCAAGCTCTCAGCTCCTCGGGCCCAGGGCTGCACACGCTCTGCCCAGGGTGACACACGCTCTGGCCTCTCACCTACGAGCTGCACAGCCCCAACCCCCACGGCCCGGGTGCTGGCCCGAGCCTCGGACCGCGCCCCACCCTGCCCACCTCCTGCACACCCACACCTGGAGAGGAAGCGGGGGGGGGGGGGGGGGGGGGCGGGAAGGGGTGGTGCGTCCCGGGCGGACCGAGGGCGCGGCCCTAGGGTGACCTTCCACAGACACTCCCCGGGCTGCAGCTGAGGGTGGCGAGGAGCCAACCCGGCCTCCGAGGGCCCCCGGGCCGAGGGTGGCGGAGGAGCGGCCCCGGGAGGCCACGGAAGGGCGCACGCACGGACCCGCCTGGGCCGAGGCGGGCGGCGGCGTCTCCTCTGCGCCCTCTGCCGCGCACCGCCGGCTCTGCAGCTCCCCCGAGCCCCCAGCCCCCCAGGCTGGGAAGCCGCCGCCCCGCGCCCGAGGTCATCCCCACCCTGTCATTGTCCTCCTAGGAGGAGGAGCTTTCTGTTCAGGGATAGAGGCCTTCCTGGAAGCCGCCTTCCCCACTGCCCGAAACTGCACTCTAAAGATGCACTCTCTTGATGAGTGGAGAGGGAAGGTCTGTGGCCACAGTGGGTTGTCCCGAGGAGGGTTTACAGGCCGAGCCTGCGAAAAGGGCCTGGGAGGAGCGGGCAGTCGCAGTCATTGGTTCCTGCCTCGACCTGGCCTGCCACAAGGGACTGAGATCCAACATGGTGCCAGAGGGCTGGAGTGGCCAAACACTAGTTCTCCTGCACCCAGGTTTGCTTTCCCGGAATCCCTGGTCTTTCAGCTCCTCCCCCGGAGAGGTCGGTCTGGATCTTCTGGATAAACAAACGTTTGGGACTGGCAAAGCTAGTGTCTCCCAGAGGAGCTGGCCGGGGTCCTCTGCTTATCTCCAAGAGTTCTGTCATCTCTCTCTACAGACTGACCCTATTCAGTGCCAGGGGACAGCTCTACAGCCTCTACTACCCCGCTGCTACTGGGGCTGGTACCCGGGGCCTAGTGCATGCCAGGAGAGCACTCTACCGCTGAGCGAGGTGTTCAGCTTTTGCTTGCTTGTTTGTCTGTTTAAGCAGGGTCTCCCTGGGCTCGAATTTGCAATCTTCCACAGCCTGGGCCGCACCAGGGTTAAGAAAAGGGAAACAGATTAAAGTAAACCCTCCCACTTCCTGTTCCATTTCCTCCGAGCTGTCCTCAAGGGCCCCTGGCATCTGGTCCCACACTGCTGTTACCTTTGTGAGGGCCCACGAAATCTGACCCAGGGACAGTCCGTTCTGCAGAGTATCCAGGAGGTCATCTGAGAATGCCAGGGCTCTGAAATTTAAATTAGCGGCCCCCACTCAGACTCCTGCAACAGCTCCATTACAGTAAAAGCTGAAGTTGCTCTCAGGTCCTGAAGGCCCCAGGCATCCTGGCCTCTGTTACTGTCTTCTCTATGCCCTTAAGGCTGTCTTCACTGCTCCCTACACACGCCAGACACACATTTGCACCTGCCGTTCCTTCTACCCATTTTGTGTAAATGCCACCTTATCCAAGGCTGGCCCTGAGCATCCTGGCTTGGAACACCCTCCCCAGTCACTGTGCTGTTGGCCCCATTGGTTGTTCTAACGTAGATCATGACCTGACCTATTAATTGCTTCTGTTTACTTGTATGTGGTTTCTCTTCCCAACAGAAAAGAGAGTTCTGTTTTGTTTTGTTCTGCCAGTGCTGTCCATTGAACCTGGGCCTACCTGCCCATGGGAGGTAAACTCTTTACTGAGCTATTTTATGTATTTATTTTTGAAACAGGATCTTCTGTGTGATCCTCCTGCCTCAGTGTCCCAAGCAGCTGAGATTACAGGAGTGTGCCACCCACCACCCTTAGCAGAATAGAGAACTTATCAGTTGTGTCCAACGCCCAGTATCTAGAAAGCAGTCTGACACAGAGTATTCAAGAAATGTGTGAAATGACCCAATGAATGTACCAGGCACCAAGTCAAGGCCTGGGATGGGCCGTGAGTGAGGCTGGGTTGTTGCCCTTGAAGAACAGACTGGCGGACAGGCAGTAACTACACAGCAGGGCAAGAGTGTGTGTCTAAGTAGAGATATGTATGGAGTACACATAAAAGCTCAAGGGAGGAAGTAATGCACTGTGCCTGGAAATAAGAGAGCAGGGGGCGAGGTCGTGGGGTGGACATGAAAGGGAAAAGGCAGTCCAAGCAGAGGGAACAGCACAGGCAGGGTGGCACTAGCTAACGTGTCCAAAGAGTGGCAAGTGGGGCGGCTGCATTGGAGCCGGGGATACAGGGCAGGGAGTGAGGTTTGCACACACGGCTGGAGTTGTCTCAGGAAGTGGCTTATGGAGCCGTAAAGATTGATGCCCTAAATTTCAGATCCGTGCCAGGCCATTGGAAGCATTTTGGGGTCAAGAGTCTGCCTCTAACCCCAGAAATGGCGGTTTGGGAGCAGCCCCATCCTCCCCCTGGGTGGTGTCACAGGCGGCCAGGCTGGGTTGCACAGCTGTGGCTGCCCTGGTTGGCTTTCTCTTGCTTATCTACTGGATAACCTGCTTATGCATGGCTCACCAGCCTGAGAGAGCCGGGGTCCCACCTCTGCTGCCTCAAGCTTGAAGAATCCAAGTTTCAAAATGTCCTTATTCTGCAGTCTGCCTCGGAAGGGTGGGGAGTGGAAAATCTATAGACAGCAGCCACCCGGGAACTTTGGCTTAATATAACTGGTGACCTGGGAAATGACGGAGGCAGAAAATAAATTCCATCTCTAACTGAGGAACTGAGAGGGCCTCTCCTAGCCGCGTCAAAATAATAAAGACTTCCTCCAAGAGGAGGGAGTCTGTCCACTTCCAGCCCCAAGGTCCTTTCCTCTGGCGTTCTCTCATGAGCTTGCCCCTCCCCCTCCCCCACCCCCTAACCTTCCCGGCCCATCAACACCCTCCACCCTGTCCACGTGGACTTTCCCTTTCTTTTATTTTCCTTTCCTTTCCTATTTCATCCACTCCACCCACTCCTCTGTTTTCTCCTCCATCCTTCAGCTTAAGTGCTAGACATTTTAAATTGCTGAATACTTATTTAAAGGAAAAATCTTAATTCTTGTGCATATATAAAACGAACACACTTCAGTAACTTTAACTCTTCCTTGGTGAGGGATCCAAGAAGCTGGTGCAGTTAGTTCACAGAAGAATCTGAAAATGGGATCCTGACTAATACAATGTCTCTTTAACTTTTGTTTTTAAACTGGGTGTTGAACTCAGGGAAGCACTACAACTAAGCCCTTTTGAATTTTTTAAGACAGAGTATTGCTAAGTTAGCTCAGATGAGGTTTAAACTTGTTATCTTCCTGCTTCAGCTTCCCTCAGTGCTGGGATTATAGGTATGAGTAACTGGGTGCAACATTTTCACCATTTTTAAGTGTATGCTTCAGTGGCACTGTTTTTTTTTTTTTGTTTTGTTTTGTTTTTTACTTTAAAGGGGGTAAAATTAAACACAACAAAACAGAACAAAATAGGACATAAGAAAGCAATGTAAGAGATATAAATTTCAAAGCTAGATGACCTGAGATCTTCACTGACTGTCATATTGTCTCTTGTTTTCTTCCAAATAATTGTCCACGGCTTCACATACAGAGAATTCATATAAAACAACATACTATAAACTGATCCAAACAGAATGAGGAAGGCATTTTAGGTCTTCAGAACTAGACAATAGGGAAGTCACTAATGGCTGTTGTAGTCTCTCTTTCTCTTCAAAATAGCTGTCTATACCTTCATGTACTTTGAAGTTCAACAAAACAGAACAGGCAGGGAGGAGGGGTTGCTTGGTTTCCCGGTGCTCCAGGTCCCAGCATGGCTCGGGTCCCAGTAAACACTGGTGGCTCCCATCCCAGGCCGCCGGCCTACCACACTCACAGCTGCTCACCAGTCAGGGAGGAGTTGGTCTTGGCATACAGGTCCCAGTAAATGCTGGTGGCTCCTGTCCTGGGCCACCGCAGCCTGCCATGCTCACAGCCGCTCATGGGGATGGGGGTGGAGGTTGCTTCAAGCTGTTTCTCTCTAACGAATTGACCTTTTCACTGCCCAAGTTCTGAAATGGCCAACAGACCATAGAAAGACATCTCTTTAGACTCCTGCTTGAGACCAGCAGCGTCAGTGAGCTGCCGACCTTGATTCAGGGCACTAAGTGTTTTTACAGTGTTATCCAACCATTAGCGAGGTTCATCTCCAACTAAAACTCTGTATCCATAGAAATGATAGCTCGGCCACTGTATTTGTTCTTGCATTATTGGTCACCCTCATACTGTGGAGTCTGCTTCTTTTCCTACCTTTACTTGGCCCAAACTCACGCTGCAGAGCCTGTTTCCTTTCCTGCCTTTAATAAAAACTTTACTACCCTTAAGAAACAAAAACAAAAACCCAATAATTCCCCATTACTTCCTTCCCCACCTCCTCGTAACCACCACTATACTCTGTCTCCATGGCTACAGCTACTCTGCTTCCTCATACATTCTTTTGTGTCTGGGTTATTTCTATAAGCATAGTGTCATCAAGATTCATCCGTGTTGTAGGATGTATCAGAATTTCACCCCTTTTCAAAGCTGGATAATATTCCATTGTGTGTGTGCTTTTTAAAAATTTGTTTATCTTTTTAATGAATATTTGGGTTATTTTCTTCATTTTGCTATTGTGAATAATGCTGCTATGAACAAGAGAATACTAATATCTTTTCAATTCCTTGTTTCCAAGCTGGGAATATTAGCTTAGTTGTAGGCATTGTCTAGCAAGTATGAGGCCTTGGGCTCAATCTCTTCTACTGAAAATAAATATACAAATAATTTCTTGTTTTCAGTTATTTTATGTGTATATCCAGAAGTGAAAGCCCTGGATTAAATAGTAATTCTATGTATAATTTTTGATAAACAATTATATTGTTTTCTACAGTGACTGCATGATTGTACAATCCCATCAGGAGTGCAGAATGGACCTAATTACTCTACATCTTTTCCAACATTTGTGATTTTCTGTTTTTTAGTAGTAGCCATCTCTTATTATAATTTACATTTACCTAATGACTAATATTGAGCATATTTTTGTGTACTTCTTGGCTGTTTGTATATTTTTCTTTTTTTATTTAAAGGAGAAAAACAAAACAAAACAATATAAGGGTACAAGTAATACAGAATTTCAAAAAAACAGTAAGAAATCACTAGTTAATAGATTACATATTGTCATCTTAGAAATAGTTGTTCAAGTTACAGGATTAAAACATACAAAGTGGACATTCAAACAGTGAGACTGCAAACAGTTGTGTTCAATGATCCAACAAAAACTTAGTAATGTGGTCATTTATTTAACACACCTAAACACACCTGCAGTTGTATCCTTTAGAGCACTTTTTTCCCTTCTCTTTCTTTGTTAGTATATTTTTCACTGAAGAAATTTCTTTCTTTTTTTTTTTATCGGTGCCAGGGATCAAACTCACGACGGCCTGCTTGCAAGGCAGGCGCTTATGTCTTATGTCGCTGAGCTAAATCCCTACTCCCACACTGAAGAAATTTCTAACCAGAGTCTTTGCCTGTTTCAAAATTGGGTTGTGGCATAGGCTGGATCCTAAATGTCCCCCCAAAGGCCCAGTGAAGAAGTCTTAATCTGTAGCCTAGGGCACTGCTGGGAGGTGGTAAAATCTTTGGCAGAAGAGTCTTGGGGAATGAAAATAGATCATTAGTGCATGTGCTCTGGGAGGGGAGTTGGGATGAATCTGCTTCTCCTTCTCTTGGCTTTTTCATGGGCTACCATGAGGTGAACATGACCGCTGCTGGCTTCTTGCACACATGCATACATGCACACATACACACTCCATGGTCCCTCTGTGATGTACTACATCTGCACAGGTCCAAAGCACCTGGGTCAAGTGACCACAGACTGAACCCTCTGTAACCATAAGTCAAAACGAAACTTTCTCCTTTAAGTCGATTATCTGAAGTATTTTGTCTCAGGGATGGAAAGCACAGGTTGTTTGGTATTTGTTACATTTCATGAACTCTTTTTTATTCTGAATATTCTGCCTGTATCAGATATATAGTTTGCAAATATTTTCTCCTTTTATACTGTTGACAATTGAAAACTTTTGATCCACAAAAGTTCTTAATTTTGATGAAGTCCAATATGTCTATTTTTCTTTTGTTAGTGTCCCATCCAAAAAAAAATCATTGCCAAATCCAGTGTCATAAAGATTTTCCCTTATATCTTCTTTTAAAAGTTTTATTATTTTATTTCTTATGTTTACATTTGATCTATTTTGAGTTACTTTTGTATATTGTATTAGGTAAGGGTCCAGTCTCATTCTTTTTAATGTGGAAATTCAGTTTTGTCAGCATCATATGTTAATCCCTGATTTCTAAAATGTTAGAAATTTAATTCATATTTAAGAAATAAAAACTGGGGATCTAACTTAGTGGCTTAAGCACCTGCCTGGCAAGCTCGAGGTTGTGAGTTCGATCCCCAGTACCAAAAAAAATAAAAATAAAAACTGACTGCAATAATTTAAACCCAAGTTTTTATTATTTCACATTAAAAAAAAACTCAGGTAGGCTGATCTCAGCTGCTGTGACGGCTCTGGGGAACCGGGCTCCTGTCCTATTGTGTCTTACATGACTGGAGCTAGAACTCCAGCTAATACCTGTGGATTCCAGGCAGTAGGAAGGAGGAGGATAGCGAATGCCACTCATACAGAGAAGTCTCAGTCTCGGCCTGGGAAAATATCTCAGTGGTAGGTAGAGTGCTTGCCTAGCATGTGTGAAGAACCCTGGGTTAAAGATCCAATGTGGAGACAGAGGCAGAGAGACAGAGGCAGAGGCAGAGAGAGAGAGTGAGAGAAGAGAACAGAGAGAGAGACTGAATAATTTGAAGGACGTTCTCTGGCTTATCTCCCTCTCTCACACCTTTGGCTTCTTGAGCACATGCACACACACACACACACACACACACACACACACACACACACACAAGTGTACACTGATCTCGTGTTCACCGGGGCCTCTGTGTGGGAGGCCTGAGTAGGATTTAAGATTTCTGCCATGACCGAGTCAGTGATCTGACTGGAGCACAGGGCAGGTAAGGGGCTCCTTGGGGCTACAGTTGCTTTGTTGAGCCAAAGGGAGCAAAAGGTCAAATTCCGAGGCACAGTCAGCCTGCAAGGTCAGTTTCTAGCCAGAAGGCACAGGGCACCAATGAGAGCTATGGGAAAGGGCAGCGCGAGGGGACCAACATCTGGGCTTGGACCCTCCAGTGGTGTTGGAAGCAAAGCCTAGGCCAGCTGTGAGGTAGGGGGCTGCACGTGGCTGACCTCTTGTCTATTTCCCAGATCTGTGGAAAGAGGAGGAAGGGCTTTCAATCTATCTGGCCCTGGAGAATTCATGCAGGCCAAGTCGCAGGCCAGCCTATTCTGCCAAGAGTAAGCACCCTTGGGTCCTCCCTCATTGGAAACGTACATGACTACAAACAGAATTAAAGACCACAGATTCCTGACAGATGACTGGGTGACAGGAATAACTTCAAAAAGATTTGTTTCCAAGGGGACCTTGTGAAGAAAGCCCAAGAATTTGGGAGCTTCAGTCTGGGCTCTGCCATCTTCAGACGATCACTATTTGTCTCAGGGCCGCAGTTCCTCATGAAAAAGAGGGACTTTGGCTTAAAGCCTGGCAAGGACACTTCAGATAGACATCTGTGTCCAGATCATCACAGAGGAAAAGTGAGCCAAAGAACTTCAGGGATGACTGAAGGGGTGACTCCTAGCATTCCATGGTGGGTCTGAGCTTCAACAATTGCAAAGGGTTACCCACCCACTCCACTTCCCAGAAAACCCAGTGCGGATAGCATGACAGGAGGAAATCATTTAGATGTTGGCCTTCCTCAAAGATGCTCCAGTCCTAGACCTGCATAAAATCTAGAAGCTAGAGGTACAGTTATAAAACTAAAGAAGTTTCAAGGTTCCCTACTTAAAGAAGCCCAATTCATGTGTTCAGTCTTTTCCTTAAGGACAGTGTTCTCAAATGTGTAAGCTTCAGGCCTCACAAAACCCAGCCTACTGGTCACCTATGGTTTCAAGCCTTCTTTGTGGCAGGTTGTAGTGGTGTCAATCTGATTGACTTTTAGATCTGCTTGAGGCACTGGTGGTCATACTTCTAGATGTGTCTGGGCAGGCCATGGAGCCATGACTCTGGGCACTGTATATGGTCACTGTCCCATTTCCCAGCTTACATTGTTCCTTGCTCCTCTTCCTGGCTGCCATGAGCTAAACATCTTTGCTCTGCTACACCCTTCTACCATAATGTTCTGGTCTTAGATCCAGCTGACCATGGACTAAATCCCCTTGAAACTGAGCTAAATCAAACCTTTCCTCATTTAAATTGTGATACTGGGTACTGTGTCCTAGTGATAACTCAAGTGGAGGACACACTTTAAATCAGAGGGCAAGACATAGCAACATACAGCAGGCTGGCTGCACTATTGATGGCCTGAAACATGCTTATCCATTTATATCTGATGCAACTAACAATATCTCCCTGACTTATCCCATTTTCTCCTTAGTTATCCAGGTCAGTCTTCCCTAGTCCTCTGCTTTAGAGCTGATAAAACTGATGCTTGGGGAAACTTGAAGGCTTATGTGGTTTTCAAGCCTAGCTGGAAACAGAAGCAAGACTGTTGGTCAGCTATCTGCCGCTGTTTAATTTGGCTCATGGTTTCAGAAGCTTCAGTCCATGGTTGTTGACTCTATTGCTTCTAGGTGTGTGGGGAAGCAAAAACATGGTAGAGTGGTGGAGTGGAGGAAAACCACCTACGTCATGGCATCCAGGAAGCAAAGAGAGAGGGAAAGAGCCAGAGAGGAAGGAGCCAGTAACAAGATATTGTCCCCAAGTTCAAGCCTCTGTGACCCACTCCCTTAAACTAGGGTCCCACTTTCTAAGTTTCTATCTCTTCCCAACTATGCCATCAAATCATGAATCCTTCAGTGGTTGAATCCACTGATGAATTAAAGACCTTGTATTAGTCACTTTCCCGTGACTGGGAGAAATTCCTGACACTCATAATTTAAAGGAGGACCTGTTTATTCTGGCTCACAATTTCAGTGGCTTCAGAGAGTGGTTGGATGGCTCTAAGGCAGAAATGTCACGGCAGAGCAG